AAGCCCATTGTGTTTCAGTTAATGTCACTGGATTTCAATGCCCATCAACTCTAGTACACCTGAGGAATAGTGAGGGAAGATGGGAAGAATGGCTGATCAAAAGTTAAAGTAACACTCATTTCTCCTATGAACTTATTTATCTAGTTGCAGTTGTGGATGCAGTTATTGTTATTATTATTATTTCCTACTTTTTCTCCAGGATTAGAACCCGAGATTTTTTCACTTTGACAAATGCAACTTTCATAAGTCTAAGGAAGAAGTCTGAGCCCCCATATCCTCTTCCAAAATTTTAATTATATCCAGCTATGTTTTTATTTAAGATTATTGGTACAATCTCATTTGATGGTTGCTACACAGACTCAGAATGGTCTTTTGGTAGTCCTAATTCCTAATCCTCCAAGAATATCATATCAGTTCATAGATAGTTCACACTCACAAGAGAAGCAGGTTCAATCTGGTGTCCCAGACGTCAGATTGAACCTGCTTGATGGCCTGATAGACTTCTCTAAAAATCTCTAGGTTTCACAGAGACTAAAAGTTGTCTAGAGTAACGCTGGAGAATGTTAATTCCTAGAAGGAACCCCTCTAGGAACCTCTAGGTATTCCTATGTGATTATGGATGATTTTGATATTTCTAAGGCAGTGTTGCTTCAGGTTTAAACAAAACTTTTTTTTATTTGCAGTTTTTCACTTTTGTGGGGGTCTTGCACTTCTAACCCCAGCTAATGTGGAGGACCAACTGTATATGTTGTATTTTATGTGGAGAGGGGATTATTTATAATAAGTAGGACAGTTTAGGAAGGGATGTCATCTTCAATTATGCCTTAGAGGTATAAACATGATGAAATTCCAAGCTGATATTTTTCTTCCTCCATTTGATTAAAGGTATGTAATTTCGGTGAATTAGTTGGCTCAGGTTTTTGGTTAACATAATTCCAAGGTATTTAAAACTGGGTTTGATTTTATTGTTATTACACAGACTACTTTGATCATGTAGTGACATATTTAATCACATCTTTTTGGATTTTGCAATATTATTTTGAATCCTGTATAAGTCTGAAACTGAATTAGGATTTTTTTTTGTAGAGTAGGGATTAATGTTTCTTGGTGTGATAAAAATATTAAAATATAATCTGGAAAAGGTCTTTTGAGTTCACTTTTCAGAAAAGAAACCTTTGATTTTTTTCCCCCCAGAGGTTCTTATTTGTTCTCCAAGTAGTTCTATCTTTGCATCTTTTTATTTGTGTGTGTGTGTATATGACACACACATACTCATGTATATAATCTCATATATAAATATAAAAGTATAAAGGTATGACTTTTGATATGATCTCTTGATAAGTCAATTGTCAGGTATTCAAAAAGGTCAGAAGTAGGGCTAGGGGCTTCTTTTAAGTACTCCCAGGATGACCTATGGTCTGGTCTTTCACAACTCTGTTCAGAGAAAAAGATGTTTCCCTTTTTTATAAGAATTATTGACTCAGGGCTAAGTTGACCCAGGTTTTGGAGGTTGATTTTTGACTACAAGTTCTAGGCTTATACATGAGTATATAGGTTTGCATTATATTTGTTTAAAGTTATTTTGCATTTTCCAGATTTCACAATCTCATTTCCAGAAACTTCAATCATTGTGCTTTGGACTGATGCTAAATTGTCTATGATGGTGGTCATATGCACTGGGCCAAACCTTCTATGGAATCACTACCATGCTACAAGTCCCTTCCTTATTTCTGATTACATGGTCACCCCATTCTGATGTCAGCAGGGTTTTCTGTGTCTAGTGGGAGTGGTGATACTGATGTGGGGACAAGGCCCTCCATTCCCTATGCTGATTAGTGCCCAGGTAGTCCTGAATGACAGAATCACAGAATAGAGTTGTAAAAGACCACATAGGCCATCTAGTCCAACCCCCTGCCATGCAGGAAGCCTGTGTATATTACAGAGTTTCTTGCAAACTCTGGCATATTACCTGACTTTGCTTAGTGGGGAAGTTTTTTTGTTTTGTTTTTGGGGTTTTTTTTTTTGGTTTTTTATTTTTTTACTTTCTGGAAGTCCCCATGCATTATGACAGCAGCCAGTGTAGATAAAGTCTGTGAAAGCTTACACTAAGTTCCATTCTCAATTATTCTCTAAGTCACTATTAAATTGCTTAGCACATTGAACCAACTTTAGTTATTGATAAGTTTATTGCATATTCACTCTTCCGTGAGCAAAAGGACACCCCCCCCTTAAAAACATGAAGCCTATTATCAAGAACTTTTAAAAAAATACAATTGTGTTAGACTACAATAAAAAAACTGTAACACTAACAGATATTTTTATTTGAGCTGTTAGTAAATCTAGTAATACTTCAAATTGCTATGGACTAAATATGATTAAGAATCAGATTTACTAGGGACCACTTAGCATGAGTTGAAATTCGGTGGCTGCCAGCTTTTGCACTTTTGGCACTGATTCCAATGGGTCCCATTACACTTTTGGGGTGGCTCCATGGCAAATGTGCAAAAAAAACTGTCACTGCCACTGAAAAATTACCCATGGTGCACAACAGGAATCTTCCTGTCTTTTCATAAGAAAAGCTAGGTTGAGGTGGCTTACTGAGGCTTCCCCCCATGTGATGAGGGGAAGTCAGGATGGTGTTGGGCGACAGGTCCCCACATCCCTTGGGTGGGCACCACTGGTATCGCTACCTCTGGCAAAATTAAACCTAGGGCTGTTTTCCCTCCATTGCCCACCTCCATTGCTTCCTAGCAGCTCTGAGGAAGGAGTCAGAAAGACCCCCTCCTTCCTGCTCCCTTCCTCTCCCCTGGAGCTGAATGGAGATGCCATTCACTCACAGTCCGAATCGATGCTGGAGGCAGAAAAGGTTCCGTGCTGGTTTCTTCCATTTAGTGCGCTAATGACATTTCACCTAGGGACCCCATCACAAGGACTGGAGCCCCTGGTGGTGAAATGGGTTAAACACTTTTGCCAGCAGGACTGCTGACTGACGGGTCAGCAATTTGAATCCAGAGAGAGTGGGTTGAGCTCCCTTTGTCAGCTCCAGCTCCCTGTGCAGGGACATGAGACAAGCTTCCTACAAGGATGGTAAAATATCAAACATCCTGGTGTCCCCTGGGCAATGTCCTTGCAGACAGCCAATTCTCTCACACCAGAAGTGACTTGCAGTTTCTCAAGTAACCCCTGACAGAAAAAAAAATCTCAAGGACTGAAATTTGTTGTGTGTGAAGAGGCCTTTGGAAAGCCAGAGGAGGAAAGCAGCTGAGGAAAGAAGGGAGATTGAAGGGGAAAACAGCTGGGTCTCTCTTAATGTTTAAAGCCTGAACCCAGCTGGCTTACTGTGGCTTCCCCATGTGATGAGGTGAAGCTGGGATGGTGCAGGGCAACAGTTATTCATGCCTCCTGGACAGGTTCTGCTGGAATCGCCATGATCCACAGCAATACTCTGCGCTTCTGGCAGAGCATGTGAAAAGGTCCTCGATCACCCTGTCAAAATTATTTGTTCTCTCCCTTCATTAAACTTGGCTATCTGTATGAATCAGTTAACTTTGTGAAAAAACATACTCTCAGACATTTATCTGTAACTATGTGTGTGTGTATGAAGGGGGAAGAGGAGGGTGTGTTTTCTTTATAAAAGGGTCATATTGGCTGATCCTGCATGAGTACTTCTTTCATTCTATATTTCTATTAACACTTATTATTAATGTTGGGCAGTGATATTTATCACATTAAGGACATTCTTTCTAACTACTGTGAATGTGGAAGTGGCTACTGCCCATTAAGCTATTTGCATAGCTGAAAAGCACTAAAAAGTCACTCTCAGGAATGGATGGGACAATTAATAGGAGACAAACATATTGAAACCAAGCACAGTACATTAATGTGTTTAGGAAACAGGTGGGCAGAATAATCCATAATGTCTATGCCTTTGATATTCAATGTTTCCTTGACCCAGAGGCTATTACTCTCTCTACAATTTTAGCATTGTTATTCCACTTGAACTGCCATGGTTCTGTCCTATAGCATGTTGGAATGCTGAGTTTAAGGATGAATATGTAGACTTCTCATTCAAAGAGCTGCAGTGTTTGATCAGTCTGCAAACAGCAGGATTCCATAGGGTGCAGCGTGGAAAATAAAGTGTGAACAGGCCAAAAATTCCTACCTGTAAGTAACAGTTTTAGAATATGTGAACAACTCATAGAATCATAGAATCAAAGAGTTAGAAGAGACCTCATGGGCCATCCAGTCCAACCCCCTGCCAAGAAGCAAGAATATTGCATTCAAATCACCCCTGACAGATGGCCATCCAGCCTCTGTTTAAAAGCTGTCTCACTTGGGGCAGCAGACATCCCAGATTATCAGTATTGGAAAACATGGTTAAGAGGGACAATACCAGTTTTTCCATACTTTCATTCAGGGCTTGCATGTAGAGGTGCCTGGTGGATCATTTAGAGTCAATTGCTGAAGATTGTTTAGAAGCCTAAATGAAATTCAGACTTCAGTGTTCATTAAACTATTTCTACATTTTGCATCATTGATATGAAAGCTTTTGGGGTTATAATAATTATGCATGGCTATATGAGTGTTCACTGGGTTGTTGCAAAAACAATAAAAAACAAAATGAGCAAAATTAAGTTCAGGTTAGAATACCAAAATAATGTCCTGATTGGAAAAAAGCACATAATTTCAATTATGTTAGAATCTGTATGAAGCTACCTTCATACTATCACTCTCAAATTAATAGCTTTGATTTACTTGTTGTTTTTTTCCATTATCAAATTTTACCTCCTATTCTTTTTTTTCTTGGCCAAATTTCTCATTTAGTTCCATTGATGAAAATGGCTGGTATCTATTTTTACCCATATAGATATATACATGCATACATACACATACTTATACACATATATTCTTATTTATTTTTTAATACTAATCCTCTAGGCTGGCTTCACAGTTGCATTCAGATGGCCAGTCCTATTTACTTTACATTTTTTTATCCATAGATGGACGATATGCAGTGGGGCAAAGGAGTGAAGAAAATCCCTACTTCAGTCTGCAGTGTTCCCTGTAAACCAGGAGAGCGAAAGAGGATTATTAAAGGGATGAGCTGCTGCTGGCAATGTGAGCTGTGTGATGGATACCAGTATCAGGCCGATGAAGTGAGCTGTAGACTCTGTTCCTACGACCAACGGCCCAACGAGAACCGCACAGGATGCAGCCCGATCCCTATTGTGAAGCTGGAGTGGCATTCCCCGTGGGCTGTCATACCAGTCTTCTTGGCCATGCTTGGAATTATTGCCACCATTTTTGTCATGGCTACGTTCATTAGATATAATGATACCCCCATTGTGCGGGCTTCCGGAAGGGAACTCAGCTATGTTCTATTGACAGGAATATTTCTATGTTACATCATCACCTTTTTAATGATTGCCAAACCGGATGTGGCAGTGTGCTCATTCCGGCGTATTTTCCTGGGATTGGGGATGTGCATAAGTTATGCTGCTTTGTTGACTAAAACAAACCGAATCTACCGCATATTTGAACAGGGCAAAAAATCAGTGACAGCACCCCGGCTTATTAGTCCAACTTCACAGCTAGCAATCACTTCAAGTTTGATATCAGTACAGCTTCTTGGGGTTTTTATTTGGTTTGCAGTTGATCCTCCAAACAGTCTCATAGATTATGATGAACATAAACCAGTGGAACCAAATAAAGCCAGAGGAGTTCTCAAATGTGACATTACGGATCTACAAATAATATGTTCTTTGGGGTATAGCATTTTCCTAATGGTTACATGTACTGTGTATGCCATCAAGACTCGGGGTGTCCCAGAGAATTTTAATGAAGCCAAACCCATTGGATTCACTATGTACACTACCTGTATAGTATGGCTTGCCTTCATTCCAATTTTTTTTTGCACTTCGCAAGCAGCTGAAAAGGTAGGTGAAAAATAAGTAATGTACAGGATTATTATGGCTGAAATATATATACAGTATATTCTGGCATATAAGACTACTTTTTAACCCAAGAAAATCTTCTCAAAAGTCAGGGGTCGTCTTATATGCGGGTGTAGTCTTATGCCTGGGAGTCGTCTTAACTCTATATTTTAACTGGAAAAGTTGGGGGTCGTCTTATACGCCCAGTCGTCTTATATGCCGGAATATACGGTATGTCTTTCTCTTTAAAGAGCTTTCTAGCATCAAACTAATTGTTATACAAAATATGTATAAAGCCTATTGCAGTACACCATGTTGGTGTTCCATTCCACAAGTTAACATCTAGATCTTTCTTTCTTTATAAACTGTTTATGATCAGTCAGATCATCAGTTTCATTAATGCATTTTTCCAGCTTAGTGAATGTAACACATTCGTCATTTTAGCACAAGAGTCAGCTAACTTTGATTACAGAATGTAAACATAGCATCTGTCAAATACTTTTCTGCAAACCTGTATTTCACAAATTCAGAACAAGAGGGAGCAAAGGATTGTTAATGATGGCTGAGGGGCATATCTTGAACAATTAATCAGTAAATCAAAATTGAATTTCTCAAAATATATGTCCTTGATCAACTCTACAAATTTAACTAGAGTATAACCAATGGTAAGTATTTAAAAGATTTTGGTTTGTTGCTGTGGGAACTACTTTGCCTTGTTTCAGTGGCTTGCAGTAGAGGCGGTTTGGCATAGTAAATAATAGATAGTTAATGTTAATCATAGAAATGTTATTTTTGTTGTCATGTCATGTCTCTTTTTCAAGGAAAGTACAATCAGAGTCCAATGAATATAAGAACCAGCAATAATCCTTAACTGCAGCGATCATTTATCCCACCAATAACCAACTGTCTGCGTCAACTACTGCAAATAAAAAAATCATTAGAAAGTATGCAACAGGATGGCTAGGTTTGCTGAATAAGTTGTAGTAAATGTGTAAAAACTGCAAAGGGGTTAACTGATTGGCTCAGGCTGAATGGAACCAGGACAAGCACTGTAACAACGAAGTACCTTGCTATATCTCCTTATACAAAGATGTATGTGACGTTTGACAAAGAGCATTTCTGTCACATTTTATACTTCTCTCTCTTTGTTTTTTTTTTTGTGACAGAAATAATGGAATTTGAGGCAATCAAGGAAAAATGTAAAATGAAGGAGAAGAGAGAAGGCAAATAGCAGTGTTGCTTCAGAAGCACACAATATATATTTATGGTACAAGAGCTATACCATGCTTTTGATCTATGTCCTATCTATCTATCTATCTATCTATCTATCTATCTATCTATCTATCCCCTCATGGAGCAAAACGTTTGCTATTTATTGCTCATGTTGAGGATAGCCTTCCCATCAGGTACAGAAGTGACATCCTCAGGTTTCAAGATTATGGGGGACAGTAGCTTTGGCAGTCACTCTGATGTTTCTTCCAAGGATTTCTCCTTTCTTTGTGTTAGAGCTGAGTGTGCCACACAGCCTGTCCTGCAACCCCTCATTCTTGAAAAAGAAAATTATAGTTGGAATGTTCAGAGTAAGAAAGTTATGACAATATATGAGCCTGACACAATCTTTTAGTGAGCACAAAGTGGGAGTCTAGGTTTTCTTGGATGAGTGACCATCAGTAGAAAAAATATGGGCATAACTTTTATAAGAGTACAAAACCATGTGCTGTAAATGTATTCAGATAATTAATAACTTGTATTCTGCTTTGTAATTACTGCTAAAAAAACATATCTCCCTACTTTATATAAAGGTCAGTTGCTAATCTTTCTTTACTTTTTCTTAGGGAGAACAGATTAACTATTAACAAAATGATTAATTGTAGGAGGAAATTTAAGATCATCCTTTCTGACGTCTGCAACAGTAAAATTTCCTATACTTTACATTGTGTGTGTAATTCTACCTGAGTTTATTAAACCACTGTGGAAAGATATATTGCAATTTGCAAGGGCTGGTTACATTGCTTATTTTGCTATTTTATTCACTTGATAGGTAACCTACAGTTTGTACGTACATATTGCACATTTTGCTACCTACAATAATTCTGGTTCTTGTAATCTGAATGCTCACTTGAGGTCTAACCATTATCTATTAGAGATGATGAAGGAAACATAGTGAAGGAAACATTGACAATGGTTTTGTAAATCACAAATCTACTTGTAGCAATCCGCACATTCCCAAGAACATGTGAAACACAAAAATGTGTTACAAACTTCTTCAATAGATCCATTATGGCTCTTTTTGGTTTTACTTTCTTTCAGCCAGCACTGTTATCTATCTCCTTAGACACAAATATTTCTGCACTGCCATTTTATTGAGGAAAAGTTCTTATGGATTGGTATAAAAAATCTTCCTGACATCAGGATACATTACATCCACAATAGTTGTTCTAGTCCACTGGACCTGTTTCATATGGCTGCTGCTGTCATTATCAAATACATTTCAACTGCTGCAGTAAATATATAATAGTCTTGTCATCTGGACAGATCTGGTACAATACATTGCTGCCCTTTCTTAAGGGTAAAGAAATTGTTTTCCTGCTTCCATACTTTCTTTGTATACAGAATCTGGCATCATCACAACACTGTCAGGTTTAGAGAGTGCTTGTCCCAATTTGCCCAGTGAGTCTCATGGTTCAATGGAGTTTAAACTCGAATATCCTAAATCTTAGTTTAACTCTCAATTGTACAACACTCACTGTGTTCTTTGTACTTGATTTCAGTTTCCTTAGCATTATAGCATAATTAGTATCTAGCTGCATAGGTCCTTCTAACATTTATATGCAGGGGAAAAGAGCAGACTTCTATTACATGTATTATAAAGGCTGTAATTATATTCTTGGAATAATATTCAGCCAAATGAAAATGCTAAAAGAACAAGTGTTATTAAAGATTAAATAATTAAATTTTGGTGGTCTCTTTAGTATGATGATTTGGAGGCTATATGTGATTGGAAAGTATAGTCTGATCATATTGGTAGATAGAAATTACAGTAAGTATTAAAATCTACAGAAAGGAAAACATTGGGGGAGATTCTGCTGCAGGACATGCAGCTATATGTCATAGTTACAATACCCATCCAATCCCCTCTCCCCAAAACCATAGCTATTGGAAAATGGATAGAGCAACAGACAAGACTTCAGTTAAATGGGTGTGCAGGACCAGACATCCACAGGATCCTTGAGGTCTTCTTTGAGATGTCTTTGAAGATTATGCCATTGCTCCACAGCCAGCTATAGGGAAATAGCTAAATGCTGTCTGTGAACCACCTGATTCCACCAACCAGGATATATTCAGTGTGGTGCATATAGCTGGGATAAGGTAGGTTTTAGGCTTGAGTTCCTCATTGAATGGTCAGTTCTGAATTCCAATGTCTGCAGTGTCAAAAAAAAGGCAGCTGGGGACAGTGAAGGATTTTTTTTTAAAAAAAGAAGAGCTTTTGTGGGTGCTTCAGAGTTTCCCATACAAGGAAAAAATTCCGATCAACTAAAGAGTATAATTATATCAGTGAGAGCACAGCAGGGTATTGTCTTCTACAAAGCTCTGGAGAAGACAACCAATCACAATACCATCTTCCCATGCTCCCTCCCCCCCCAAAAAAGAGTGCTGATGGCACCAATTTGTATTTCAATCACCAAATGCCAGCTAATATCTTAGCACTTGTAATTTTATAATACCATAATTTCTGAAACAGAATGTTAAATTTTTATATTTTATTGAATCAATTCAGATTTACCTGTGCAAATACCCCTATCTGCATCTGGAAAAAGTAAATTTTGTAGCCACAAATGTCTGTGGTCCTGCATGCATTTATTTACTGTCTGATATGTACCAGTTGCATTTTCTTTGGCATGCAGGGATGATGGAAAAGAATACATGCTGTGGTGAGAGAATTGTGTGTGCAACAGAAGAAGAAAAGCATTCTGGAGTTGTGCCAACATTGGTGTCCTGCCACATTTTTTTTATTATCAACATTCCTCATAGTTCAAAGATTTGAAAATCTTCAGAATGATGAAAAATGTAGGAGAGTGACTCTTTCTACACATTACTTATTTAAAATTGGTTTTATCTTGCTTTACAGCCCAGAAGCATGGTACTCAAAGCAGTTGAACAGTACAACTGTAACAATGCCCCAAATCATAAAACCATGAAATAATACAGTATTGTAGTAATGAGCATAAAGGAACTGCCAAACCAACATATGATGACCCTATGGCTGAGAGGCTTCCACAATTTCTTCTCATCAGCTGCCCTGCTAAACTCTTACTAACTTAGGGCAACCATGGCTTCCTTAATTGGGTCTACCCATCTGTAATATGGTATCTTGCTTTTGAATCTCTTTTGTGAAGAGAAAAAGTAGAGTATAAATAACACAACAGTGGTGATGATTATGATGTTTTGGAATGTTTCAATTAATTCAGAAGATTTTTTGTGGGTTTAGGGCAAAGAGCTGCTTCAAAATTATGCAAAAAATTAATTGTTGGTACTGGTGAAATATTTTGGTGTCCAGAGGCACACTCTTGCCTTAGAGAGGTCAATGGATGTTCTGTGAATTCATTTCCAGCTCGTTTGTGAGCAGGAAGTAGTGAGCAAAGCTTTGCTACATAACAATATGCAGTTCAAAAGAGCTGACATCCCTCGTGCATGATTTGCTACCCAACTGAAGACTGTGGCAGGCAACATACCTTGTTAACCTCTTGCATTTGGAAAGTGGGTGAAGCACAAATGAAACAGTAGTGATAATGCTAGCGATATAATTGGCCTTGACAATAAATCTACTTAAAATTCCCAACAGCTCTGTGTATCCCTTGATCAGAAGCAAAGCTCCCTCCAAGAAGTGTGAGGCCAATTATAGAAGCTATAGGTTTATGCAGAATCAATACAATGTGGCACTTGAAAAGAGCACAAGCGGCCTCTGTAAGGTCAAACAAAGCACAGCAAAATCGATAAGCCAA